CCCAGTGTGTCAGACTCGGCAAAAAATGGAAATTCCGTTTTATTGTCGTTACTAGAGCTAATGAACGAGACCGCTTATCTGCAAAATGACGATTCTGCAGGACGAAGAAGAAATTTCGTCATTTTTGTAATTTTTTGGTTAGATTTTCAATTTGTTCTATACAATACAGCGTCTTTACAGCGCTACCGTGCGGAATTGGAAAAACTAAAAACATCAGCTTGCGTATTTAATACTGAAGAATGCAGCGAAGTTACTGAATCGTTTTCGACAAAATTATCAGTTATGTGGCATTGTTCCTCAGCCGTCGATATGCATCTTTTTTTCTTGAAGGAATTTTATTTAAATATAACGTAACTACTACAAGTATTTCCTTGTATCTATCTTCATGGTTTAAAACTGAAACGAAACAAATTGCATTCATTTTACATGGTAACGTTAGATAATACGATGATTGTATGCATCTTTCAAGTCTTTTATTTGGCGTGTGGAAAGTTTAAATTGACGATAATGAAAAACAAGCACATAAGATGAATTTTTCCACTCCAGATTTGTTTGATGAACGTATACAATGGTGCTAGATTTTTAAACCTGAAAGGCAACAAGTCTCCAAGAATTTTAAGATATCCGGATTTTTCAAGGTTTCTGAAAACAAAATTGTTCATCTTTCACCGGATTGCTCAGACATTTTAAACAAGAAAACTCCTCTCAAGATACAAAAAGATACAATTTCTTAAACTATGTCCAGAGAGGCTAGTAGAAGTTGAATTTAGAAAGAGCGAACTGTAAAATTCGTTAGAGACTTAACAATATCTATGTTTCGAGTGCCAAAAGTCGAACTCTGCTACTGAAGATAATACAGTGCTAAACTAAAACAGAAGTTGGAGAAAATTCGAAGCTTGAGTCATGGCCAGCTTGTGCTTTTAGGGAAAAAATTTGACAGGTCAGTGTCTGGTATTGGAATTTTTCAAACTCTAGTAGCGGAGCTAGTGATGTGATACGCATCTATAACACCGCATCTTGAATCTGTATGCAGCTAGCATCGTATTGCACCGTCATGCAACGTAACTCCCTTTGTTGTCAGACGCTGTCTCTCCTCATTTTTCATGAATTTACAGGGAACGGAGTCAACGTGACTATCTCAACGTAGATACCCGAAGAATTTGGCACTCGAAACATAGATGTTGTTTAGTCTCTCACGAATTTTACAGTTCGCTCTTTCTGCATTCAACTTCTACTAGCCTCTCGGGACATAGTTTAGGAGTTTCAATTTCGATCATTTCTTCAAAAGCTTTAATTATTTACCAAACCGAAAACTGATCCCTAAAATAATAAGGGGAAGAAGGAATGATCAGACTAGAGCGAGGTCGCGTGGTGCCATTCGTTTTGATCGGTTACTTAATCTCCTGTTGATGTGAATTTGAAAGTAATACATATTGCGAGTTCACAATTTTTGATTGAGCCGATAAGGAAGGTCACCTGAACCAACCGCCGAGTAAAAAATGTACCAGTGGTAAATTGCTCGGGCTGAAATTTGCACAAAATAAACTAAGTATAATGAACATTTTAAAGAACAATGCCCCGCTATGCAATATACACGGAGGAAAAAACTTCGTGCGTGGGACCCGAAGTTGAGGTCATATGGATCTCTGAAGTTTTCGGATCACGTATCTGAGGTCGAGCTGCCGAAGTACGGGTCAGACATCTGAAGTACTTCGATGTATACCAAAGGGTTTGGGTCACACATCTGAAGTACTCCGGTATACATACCGAAGTGCCTCGATGTCTGACCCGAACTTCGACAGCTCGACCTCAAATTTTCGAATGCATGATCAGAAAACTTCAGAGATCCATATGACCTCAACTTCGAGTCCCATGCACGAAGTTTTTTTTCTCTGTTTACAATTATATTGAAAAAAGGAAGAAAAATATTTTTTTGAAATGAGGTTAGCAGAGAGACCCCTATTCGTAGTATTGCAAATCAGAGGTTCAAGAAAAATGAACATAGAGCTGCAAATGTGGCAATTCTAGTTTGATTTCGTGGTCATAAAAGTCCTGCATTTGGCGAAGCTCTGCACAAAGAATTATGGAGCGCATACATCGCGCCAACTTCATTCATAATCTCAGACAAATCACGTCAGCCGTGTTTGTCACCATAGCCCACTTCACACGCTGAAAATAGGAGCTAAACGTCGGTTTTATCGGAGCACATTTCTCGATTGGCTCCTTGAATTTTAAGGGATATTGCGCATATAACCAACAATCTTAGTGAACCTAGTGAAATTTTGTTGATTGTTTCAGCCTAGAAAAATCTCATCGTCGCGAGAACTCTCTCGTCGCATCTAAAATACATATATCATTCGACGTAACTAAGTGTCTCCTGGGCGCAAATAATATTCTAATCAGCGCAAACCAGAAAATGCTACAGAAACGCTTTAATTTATCGTTTTTTGCCGGGTTTTGGCTCGTTTTGTTCAGGATTTGGTTGAAAATTAGATACTCGAGTCTGATTGGTCCAGATGCCAACGGTGATGCATGAGTCATCTATCCAAAAAATTAAAGAAGTCCAGTCGCGAAAACTCGCCTCTAGTAATATTCAGTGTATTGTAGGAGTTAGAGTAGCTCGACAGTTAACTTCTGGGCCACTGTACAACGTAGTGTCGCCGCGGAAGCGATTTAGAGATGGAAACCGTCAGGACATATGCAGCGAGCGCCGGCCTGGGAACCGATATTCTAATCAGATTAGAAACGCATGCATGGGGATTACGAATGGGCATTGTGCAGCTAATCTGGAGCAGGAAAATGTAGCCGACAAGAGAAAAATTTGGGTCACACGCAAAGAAGATGCGCAGGGAGCAGGGAGTACTCGCAACTTTTAATCCTGTACCTCATCCCCCCCTCTCTTCCCCACGCCCCCCGGGTCGCAATGACTATCCCTCCCATTGAGGACCAATATGAGACGCAGTCACACAGTAGGATAGAATCGTGATTTGTCCGAGCGAACATCAATAGAATTGCACCATGTAAGATGTAAATGCTCTGCGCAACTAGGACATCTTCAAATAAATGCCATGGATCTGAAGTAAGGTATGAATTTAGGCAGTATGTTTCGTGTTTGACGTGTTTTTCGTGTATGTTATAACGAGGACGCTCCATGAAGGGATGGCGGCTGGGCGTTATCAAAGGGATGCTGCATTGTCAGTTGCCCGACAACCTTTGAGAAGAAAGGCACACGTGACGTTTGGGTGTCGCAGAACGGCAGAGTGCGTTGCATGAGCACTTTTATGTATGTTTGTGTGTTTCGTGTTTTCTTTCCAACATCTCACTTGAAAAGTAATTCTCACAACGGTAGCTTCCAAAATAAGCTTATCCGGTTGATATAAGTGTTTGCAAATAACGTTAGTTAAATCGCAAGATACAAATGATGTTATTTTCATCTTCCATCGTCATTGATCCATAGTCATTGTTGAAAGCTCTCGTTTAAATTTCAATTAAAAGTTGATCTCGGAGCTTGCGGTTTTTTAAAGCGTTTTGTACTTACGTTAAAATTGGAGAGAAAAAATGCAGGTAATGCACTTTTTTAATGCACACTGTGTCTAGAGGCTCTATTTTTACCCACCTATCATTTATGCATTCGTGAGTAGAATACGTCCTCGCATTTGACTTTGGATTTTTCCCCAACGGAGAAACCATAGTCATAGGTCAAATCAGCGTTGGACACAAAAACACATTGGATCCAGAGTCCACACTCTTGAAAACATTGACAAGAAAAAATACTCTTGATTCAATCGGATTTTTGCTTCATCAAAACGAAATCCGCTCAAATTAAGAGGCTTGGTTCTTGATTTAAGCTAGATTCTGATTGAATCAAGAGTACTTTTTCTTGTCGATGTTTTTAAGAGTCTGGACTCTAGATCCAATGTGTTTTTTTCCAGTGAAATAGATTTTGTAATAAGTTGCAATTATTACATTAAAATGAATTAATATTATTATTTCTCACTGTCGAGTATCCAATCCTATAGACTTTTTTTTAGTATCATGGATTTTATTCCGGAAAATCGTCACTACTACCTCCGTGTGCGACATGGAAATGGCATCCGAGTTGTGAGTGACAAAAGCCGCCGCCGCCGCCGCCTCAGTCGCGAGCATCACGTCTACGTCCCGCGTCCCATTCAGATCCGAAACGGCGAGTCTCCAAGTAGCCCCCCCCCCCCGCCATCTTCCCATTCGCAAAGCTCTCACTAATGAAAAAATATTTAAATGCCGGTGACAAAGGAAGCCCCCCGCTGTTGGGAGCAACACACTGACCCACCGAGGCACCAAGTAGTAACAGTCGTTCCGAGCCCGAGTCGGCTCCCAATAAATGTCTTCCGTCGCTTTCCTTTTCATCCGTCGTCGCCTCGCCACTGTCCTAGTTGATCAACTTTGGATCCGTCTTACGCATCCCGTCGTCGGTCGCCTCAGCCCTTAAAAACAAACTTCCGATCTGTAGTTTTCGATCGAGTTAATCCAGTGAGTTTTCGGTCGTAATAACTGAATTTCGATCTAGATCATCCAAGTTTTCCATAAAGAGAATACATATCGACGGTGTAAGTCGGTAATCACATGACTCGGTTTTCGACGTCGCAGACTCCCTATCATACTTTATTTTTTAAACGGAAAACTGCTCAACGGCAATTCTTTAAAACTGCCGTGATGTTCTTCCTCTGTGCGAAGAAAATTCTGCAAAAACTACAAGGAATTATGTCTATTTGCTCAACTTGTCAACTTGTTAGCGACAAGGAGTGTGGAAGGAAATCAGAAGGCGTCAATTGCCTGATGATCTATGGGAGGATAGGCAGCAATGGCGCTTGGGTGTCGCAGAGCGCGAAGCTGCACTGCAAAAGCGGCTGTTATGTATGTATGACCAGGAATTACTTTGGAAAAAGTAAAAGAAAAAAACTTGACTGAATAAGTCTTTTGATTGCCAACACGCTAACAGGTGCTCTTTTCTTATGTTTCAGCATTGTTTGACCGGCCACTCAGGAAAAGTTTTAGCTGCTAAATTTCTAGGAGAGGCCACTAAAGTAGCAACAGGGAGCCATGATAGAGTTCTCAAAATCTGGGACCTTAGAAGTAGAGCCTGTAAGTATTTGTCACGAACTATTTCATGGGTAGTTTCGCTGGTGGGAATCATACTTAGGTATTTGCTAATCCTAGAGACTCGAATTTTTGAAGACCGCATATTTTTTTAGTGCCTCCCCAACTTTTTCTAGGTAGGTATTTATATTTATTTCACTAACAACAGCAGCTATAGACAAAAATTAGGCATTGGAGCCGTGTGATTGGTCAGTTCTGTCTTTGGCGATCTCACTGGCCATCCGGCGATGAGCTACAAGGAGGTCGATTATTGAATCGTTATAAACGACCTTGATCGATAAATTCCCATCATGCTATTTACCGGTTCAATAATTGACCCACAGCACCTCCTTCGATAATCAACAAGGATCGCCTCCTAGCCAGTGATACTATGCCACAGGGAAATCGAGGTATTTTCAACCAACTTACCACATATGACTCACAATCAGTTGGCAACTCACAATTGGTCCGAAAACAAATTTAATTGGTTGGGGTTTTCCGGGGTCACCATATTGCGCTTTCTCAGCTCTACAATTCAAATTTGTGCCCTCAGAGTCTGCTAGTGTAGCCCTACACGTTTTCTCTGTATTGATTTCATCCGGTTACAGGACATTTCGTCAGCGATTTTTTGTCCGCGCACCTGTTTTTTCCAGTAATTTACGTCCACGCGTTTTTTCGGCACAGGATATTTGGTCCACGTGCCAGTTGAGACCCAAAGTTAATTGGTCCACATGTAAATACAAATGACAAATGCTCACGACGTTTTTGGATGAAAATGTATAATGTCTTGGAAGAATGAGGGTTTGCTTGTTTTTTTGTTTTGTCTGTTTGGTCCAACGGAGAATAATATCTAGTTGAGAGTTTTGGTAAAAATGGGGGAGCGTCATATCAATGAGACAAAAGTCACTAAAACTATCTACACCTCTTTGGTGTAACAGAACTTAATTATCTTTCAAGAAATTTTCACCTTGTTATACCTGAACCGGATAAACTTCTGTATTTGCCTCAGCTAAAGGCTCTTAGATTTTTCCTGTGTACGATAAGTATTTTGATTTATTTTGCGAGGAAAGATCTGTACTTTTAAAGGATGACTGTCATTCTTAATACGCTCAATTACGTATAATATTGTGCAACATCTCTGTTGTGAAATAGTTGCTTCAGGCGCCGCCGCACGGCGGGCGGGCGCGGGCGGCCAGCGCGAACCCGCATTGGCGCCTACAAACCTAAGTGGATACTTCAAGCATTGTGCAATGCGTGAAGTATCCACTTAGGTTTGTAGGCGCCCGTGAGCCTCTCGCGCTGGCAGCACGCCGCTCCGTTCTGTTAGGCTTTAATATTTATACTCGCATAGTCAGCGTTTTACTTTCTCGCTCCCATAGTTTTAACTCATGATTTTGAAATGTTTGCACGCTCTGCATTGATCATTCTCATTTAAATTGATGGAAAAAAATATGTATCAATTTATCAAAGGAGAATAATAATATAATGCGTTTTTTTTTTAAATATTGGTGGTTCCGTGTCAAATTTAATGCTTTCCAAAGCTTTTTACTTTTTTCTTTTACATTTTGTGCTTTTATTGTGCTGCAGCGAGGTGTACGCGGAACCAAACGCTCAAAATTTGACGTATTTGACTCTATAAGATCGATGTACAAATGGATTAAAACTAAAGATTGCGTGCTTCTTGTTTTTTTCCTCTTTTATTCATGTTTGCAGTTTCTGTCGGCACAACTGTGGTTCATTGAGATTTATGTCGCTTGGAAAATGTTTTACAAATATTTGTCACGTTTTAAAAATATAAATGTTTTCAAAATGAAGTAATAATTTCGTAAAGAAAAAATAAAAAGAAGAAAAAAAAGTACCTATACATATGTAAGGTATATTGTACATCGAATATTTTAAGGACAGAAATAAAACCAAATATTCACCAATGACAATTTAAAAAGATGATTCAAAAGGAGAAAGTAATAACAAACATTTAGAAAATGAGCAACCATAACAACACCTTCTTCTCTCTCAATTTCTCATTTCCATGTTGTAAATATAATTTTACATACCGACTAAAATATAACGCTTGGACCAAGTCACTGTTGCTTATTTTACGTGTGGGTGTTAACTACTGGCCAAAAAAGGTGCGGGGACAAAAAATCGTTGACCTAATGTTCTGAAACCATTTCATCCAGGAAATACTTCAGTGTTAGTTTCTCGCACTGCAACAACTGATGATGCACATATTCAATAATCTGTTCGGTAGGCATGGTTCAGTGACATTCAGCAACCATCATTCTGAGGCATGGAGAGAAAAAGTGTGTGTGTGTATTCTATGTAAACATGGCATTTCACGATAATACCACTATTCAACAATGCGAGAGCTTGTGTAACCTACGTCAAAAATTGTAGGTAAACTTCCGATACGTTATTGGAATAGCCTCTTCAACTTTCATGTCTGTGCGAATTCCGAATGTGTAAGCGTGGCATTTACGATACCACTATTCGACCACGTGGGAGTTTGTGTTGCCTACACTGAAAGTTGAAGGCAATCTCGCGTCAGTTAAGAAAATCATAAATCCCGCTTCGCTTTGACTAAGGACGAAGTTCTTTCTCCGCGTGTACATTCTCACACGCCAAGTGGAATAGCTCGCGCACAGTCGCATGTTGTTACCGAGCGCTCGTAAACTCAATAAAAGTGAGCGCCGAAGTAACAGAGGGGTTGCGGCGAGCTTCCGGGGAGACGCTGCAGCATGGAAAGAGGAGGGGGGGGGGTTTAGGATGAACCACAATTACACAATTATAGCTCGGTGACCCAGCGGCGCCCGGGACGAAATTGCCGGTAAAGACACGGCTGCTCCGCCGCACCGCGCCGGCCGAGTCGCGTCGGGCCGGGCCGGGCCGTCGAACGTCGTGACTTTTGACTTATGACACGATTCGGGATTCGGACATGGTCCCCCACGTGTTCCACATACCCAGATACCCGGCGCCTCACCCTCCCCCGCGGTCATGACTTTCCCTCTTCCTTCCGATCGCCCGGCGTCGGGCACCGTGAAATTTCCTCCGAGCTTCCGCGACCGTGCAGTCGGTTACCGCGCCGCTGCCTCCTCATTCACCGATTGCTCGTCTTCGAAATACAGGAGGGTCTCATTCATCCGCGACTCGTGCAGTGGCGTAGCATAAATGATCGATTATCGACTTTCCCCATTTGTAGCTATGGTAAATGATCGATTGTTAAGGTGTTCGTCGCGAACACCCTGTTCGTCGATCAACTTCTCAGTTTTCCCAAGAATTTCTCGACTTTCCCACTTTTTCCAAACGGCAACTATAAACCATGTTGTTCCCGTTGGATATAATATAGTTTCTTCGGGACAAGTGATGGAAAATTTTGACTGAGCACTTCCTTATCCTCATAACTTGAAGCACTGAGCGTTGATGAGCGTTCGGGATTATGTTGAATTGATGTTCTGCTTCATGCGCGCGCAGAGATTTGAAACTCGGGAGCCTTCCATCAAAATCCGCCACGCGTTGAATATTCCCCCGGTCAAAAAACTTTTCCTGAGGCCCTGAGGGATCCTTAGAAATTCTCAACTTTAATCTTCATCGTGTAATAAACTTCATCGAGTACGTTCAAGTTTTTCGAAGGTATCCAGATACTCAGAGGAAAGAAAAGAAATTTCACGTCCTTAAACGCTAGTTCTTCCTTTAAAAATCCTCTCTGAATTTTTTTTTAAAGTCGAATAATTCTGTTTATCTTTAAGGCCCCTTGTTGAAGGGGAAAAATACTCCTTTATTTGGTCAGTGTTTTAAATTTTACCACTCTTTATCGCATTGCCATTTTTCATTGTTATCATAAGCAGTAGGTGACTTATTTTTTCACCTTTAAATGAAATGTTGCAGGCGTGGAAACGAAGTTTGCCGGCTCTTGTTGTAATGATCTAGTTCCAGCCGACAGCTCTGGCACTACCATCATTAGTGGTCATTTTGACAAGAAAATTAGATTTTGGGACACAAGAACAGAATCTGCCAATAAAGAAATAGAAGTACAAGGAAAAGTTACCTCTCTAGATTTATCTCGTGGTAAAATTATTTTCTTTTTCGATTCCTTCCTTTAAGGTATATTCAACAGTATCGCATCAAATCATGAACCAGGGAAACAGTAAAAAATGTTCGAACTTCTAAAATGCCAAAATTTTGTACTTCTTCAGCTCTCTTCGCCTCCCCCCCTTCCCTCTCTTATAGAGGATGCTCTCATTGATGATACCACTATTCGTGCGTAACGACAGTCATTTTGCATAGCCGGCCAATTGAAGGCAAATCATTGACCCAGGCAACAGGGTACGAATTTCAACAATGTGCTACGTGCTTTTAAGGAACAAAACCTGCGGGGGTGTCCCCCCCCCACCCCCGGCATCGAAGAAGCTCAACTCCCCGGGGGTCCCTTACCTGACATCCAAGGAGCCGAACCCCCCGGGGGCTATTCCACCTGGCATCCAAGAAGTCCAACCTGTAGGGGCTGTCGCACTTGGCATCCAAGAAGCCCAACCCCCCTTGGTATCCAAGGATCTCATCCCCCGAGAATTCCCCCTAGGTGTCGAAGGGTCCCGACCATCTCCGCTACACCTGAAGTACCCGATGGGGCACGGATCATATCATTCATGTTCGAAAATGTATGCGCATTATTTGCCAAAATGGTCAATGAGAGAAATAACTAAGATGCCTAAAAAATAGTCAATGTAAAGCATTAGTAGATAACGCTCAAAGCGATCGAAAGTTCGAAGCAATAAGTTGCAATAAGTCTCTTGCTGGCAGATAGACGAAATCTTCAACAACTCGTTTACGCAGCTAACTCAAAACTGTCAAAAATTGAGGTACGCACTTCTGCACCTTCACCATCGACAATGTATTTAAAAAAGTTCGAATAGCGAAGTATGTAGGTGTGCATACAACCACTTAGTTTTTAATAGGTTTAGAATTTGTTTTCTTAAGACAGGGAGACAGAATGAAATTTGGGAGAAGAGAAATTTGGACAGAATGAGATTTGGAAGATGGACAGTTCACTGATCCTTTAACAGAATTTGCAAATTCTGTGAAATGTCTCCTAACCTTTCACTTTTTTCACACTAATAACGCCTACATTTTATCATTTTACAGATTTTAAATACTTACTCGCCAGTGTCCGAGATGACACCCTTAAAGTAATTGACTTACGCACTTATCAAATCCTATCCACTTTTAGGTAAGTCAATTTCCCGTTTCTTTTAAAAAATCATAGCCTTTCTAGCTTTCTCCTCAATCAGTGGAAAGTTTGAAGTTTTTTGTCAAATTAATTCTGTAAGACAGTTTCATTTACCAATTCAGCATTCAACTGAAATAATAAGACAAACTTTGTAGGGCCTTTGCCACGTCTCTCTTCTCTCCCAGATATGAGGCAAAAAAAAGTGTTTCAGATTTTTAATTTATATGATTTATTGTTTTATGTGCTTATTTCAGTGGGCAAGTACATTCCCATGCCTCTCGTTTTTTTCAAGGATCATGTTCCTCCAACTGAACTTGCATGCAAGTATACAGGCAGAAAGACTAAAATTAAGTTCTCAAAAATTGGAATTTTAAAAAAAGTTTTGAAGAGAGAAATGTAAAAATTAAGAAATTGAAGATGGTCCACTTATCTAATAAATTGTATTCCTCCTTTCAGTGCGGACGGGTTTAAAGTAGCATGTGATTATACTCGTGCAGTATTCAATGGAGACTGTAACTATGTTTCTTGTGGGTCTGCAGAAGGTGCTGTCTACGTTTGGGATGTACTGAGCACAAAATTAGAAGTAGTTTTACCAGATGCACACAAGTAAGTATTCCTATATGAAAGAACCGTATTCCCTCTCATCTATCTAGCATCATATTTTAAGGTTTAATATTAAATATGAGGACTACTTTTTGAAAAAATAGTCAGTCTCTCTGCAAAGCATAAGAGAGATCTAAAAAATTGTATTGTTTAAATGATCATTCAAGGAATGTGTAAATTATCTTTTACTTCAATCAGAGAAATTTTTTGTTCCTGACAGTATTTATGGAGCAGTGAAAAGGATTTTTTCTTGGGGAGGGGGGGGTGAAGAAAAGCATAATGGGAAGTATGTGAGCTTGTAAAACATATCTATACAAATCCCTTGGATAGGCTTATGCCCATCATAAAGTGCTCCTGTTAGGGTTGTTGAGTAGCTAATGTTTTTTTTTTTTTTTTTTTTTTTTTTTTTTTTTTTTTTTTTTTTTCAAGTTTGTGATGGTCCTTTCCCTTTTTTTTATTAGTCTTTTTTTGTCAGCACTCCAGCAACAGATTGCTTCTTTTGTCAAATGGTGCAGGAACATATTCGTTCTTTTCCCACAATAATAAATCATTGTATCAACTGAGATTTTACCTAATATGTAAGAGAAACATCAGACCTCTAAGAATCATCAAAACACAAGTGTTTTTATTCGTCAAGAGGAAGGCAAATACAGAATCTACCAAGCTCTCCTTTTCTTTAAACCTTTCAGCTTAGTGCATTCCAGAAACAAACCGAGATTGATATGTATTCAGGGCCGGATTTACCTACTTGCCGCCCATAGGCCGCCTTTATTTTGCCGCCCCCTTCTCATTCGTTTTGAAAAATCAATAAAAACCATCTAATGAACGTGCCAGCGGGGAAAGGGTGCATAAGTCGCGTTTACTCATGTTGAACACATTTTTTGGAAAGCCCTGGCAACACTACTAACAAAAGTTTACGGAACTTGGCGCGAAAGTTAAGTTTCATAAACCTATCTCTGTGTGGACAAGGCCTTCCATTCGTAAGAAATGAACGAAAACATTATGAAAGAACGAACATAAATGTGGATTAATGATTTTAACTTCCGCCGCCGCGCCGCGCAGACCGCACCGTGTTTGGCCGTTTGGCGCAATGCGTGAAGTATTCACGCAGTCTTGTAGGCGCTATGCGTTTCACGCTGATCGCACTGTGTTTGCCGCAATGCGTGAAGTATTCATGCAGTCTAGTAGGCGCTATGCGTTTCACGGTGACCGCAATGACCGCAACCGCACAGTGTTTAATGCAATGTGAGAAGTATTCGTGCAGTCTTGTAGGCGCTAATATATGTTAAATGCCGATCGCCACGCCGAGGGTTTCTCTTTTTCATCTTAAGTCCTCGTCATCATTTCTCTCTAAGTCGCGCCGTTCCAGGCCAAATTGCGTGTTTGATTTCTCTCTTAACTCGGCTAATTGAAGGTGCTGTCTCTTGTATCACTGAAAGACGACAAAATTAGAAATTACTTTACTCTCAGGAAATGAGAGATCTTGTCGCCTTTTCTCGGTAGTGATTTTTTTTTTCTAAATCCGATTTTTTTTATACCTACATTTAAAAAAATTGCAATATTTGCCGCCCCCTATAGATTTGCCGCCATGGGCCGCGGCCCATGTGGCCACCCCCGTAATCCGGCCCTGCATGTATTAACTTTTGACAATTTTTTTTTTTTAATCAAGGTGTTTCTCTTTTTTCGAAATTGCAGGAATGCAGTGACGGCCGTCGCATGGTGTCCTATTACAAATTATCTAGCTAGTGTCGATCGCTCTGGTCAAGTTGTAATTTGGGCAGATACTTAGCAGGAGGCCAGAGAGGAATCCAGCAGTGATTCTTGAATTCACCATGCACAACCCTCTGATCTTTCCACTGCTTCCGTCTTCTTCCCCTTTTCATTCTCCAGTTTTATTTGCTTTTGATGTCAAGTTTTTACATTTGTTGATGTTTCATTTTGTGTGAATAACACTTGCTGTTGTTAATAAGTAATTTGAGTTCTCGTGAATTTAAGTTTTATTTTTATCCACGTTCTTTTAACTTTTTGGAAGATCGCAACTTTTACACTAATTTTGAGTGATCTTACCTAATCAACAATGTACACTTAATTTGCCAGAATGGGCCAACCGACCAGATCTGAATCTAATACTTTTTATTTCATATTCCCTCTTCAAAATTTTTTTCAGAATACAATGCTCATTACAGAAAAATTATTAATTCAGCTCGCAAGTTAGATAGGTATTGGCAATAATTACTCTCTACCTTACCTAATCTGTCTTGTCATTATTAAGTAATTTTAAACCGAATATTATTTGGCGCAGGGCTTAGTTTTCGACTTTTTTTCCTAATTTTGAAAAGAAGCCGTGTAATGCATTCAGATCTTTCTTGTTGCCCCATTGAGGAGTCAAGAGTAGGATAACCTGTGAGATAATCTTAATCATCAAGTCTCCGCTAGTGGCATTGCACCCTTAGCTTAAAATGAGTGCTACCTATATTATGCCTTTTCCAAAAAAAAAACATCCTTTCGACCCTCCAGTAATCCAACATTTACTTTAATTCAACTTTTGTTGTAAGAAAACTCCTTAATAAATATGTTTCTTGGTCTGTTTTCCTGCAATTTTAGAATCTGAAAATATTGAATAACTGAAAGAATGATATTGCTGCAGAATTCAGTGTTTAGTCAGAATTCAGTTTTGCAAAACATCACTCGGATTTGTCTCTCAAGGAGGAAAAAATATTTTTGTGCAAAATTTGCCGTTTTAATTTCATATCTGGACCCTTGTGTGACTTCAGACTCAATAGTTTCTCTTTTTATAATGATATCATTTAACTGCTGCTGACAAACGTTACCTTGCACGATCAAGAATTGCAGCTTTTCCTATTTGCAGCTTCAATCGTAGCCTTGTCTGTAATCTATGTGAAGCATATCTACTTATGAAAATATACGCACTGGTCAAGTAATCAAAACTGTTTAACGCAACATCCTCTAGAAATCCAAACAATTGCTGTTACAAGGTTTTGAGAGAAATATCAAATTCGATTTAAAAGGGACTCAGTTGCACTTAAGTGTTCAAACTTTGAACTCCTTTACCCCAGAAATCAAAGAGCCTCTGATGGTTGTCAGAAAAGTTATCATAACTGATAATAAAATCAGTTCTTTACTTTTCTAATGTTTGAAGTTTCAACTCTTAATTTTTAGGCACTTTTTGTCAAAACTATCAGCATCTTCTCAGTGAAACTATCACGGAAAGAAAAATTCATCAGGAATTTTATTTAATTTTCAATACCACTTTTCACAGGATTTTAAGCTTTCTCTCATTTTGAATTTCAGAAAGCAACTTGAATTTTTTTAATTCAGAAAGGTATTTTTACTCTTTTTTTTGCAGAGAAGTGTAACATTTTTGATCTCATCTCTCTGGTAACTTCAGTCGCAAAACTTTGCATCATGAAGTATGAGTAGGTAAAACTTGTTGTTAGTGCTGAAATATGATCGACTAGAATAAACTGCAGGGTGGTAAACTTCACTGGAGGTGCTTTTTGAGACTCATTCGCTCATAGTCTTTATATGATACTTTAATGGACTTAATAAACTCATTGTTGTCCTAGGGTAGGCTAATTTTGTGACTAATAATCGGTGTACAGCCCTTGGCATTAATCAGTGCAGTAAGTCATCAATATATTGAGCACAGAAGTGGCCAGTATTAAACTTACCTAAGTGAAACAATTTTTGAGTATTGTAAGTTTTTTTTTTTTATTATTTTCTTTTACTGGCAAATATTATAGTGAGGGATCGTGAAATATTTGTTTCTGTGATATTCTTTCCTGAGTAAAAAGTAATTTTTCACCTGTAAACTCGTGGTTCCCAACTCCAATTTCCAAAAAGCAATGCTCAGGTTAAAGCCATTGAAATACCTGATGCTTTAAGAATCTTATAGTGATATGCACAGTTGGATGGACTTAAGTAGAATAGCCCAATTACATTCTGAAGTTCCCCTCTTGTTTTGTTTTCCTAACAGAGAGCAAGTCAACACTCTGAATTAAAAGTTTTGTTCATTCTTTATTACCTATGCAGAGGAAATACACGGGAAGTTACAACGCCTCAGACTGTTCAGCCTCCATTTCAAAACGTAAAACATGAGGGAAAATTAGGGGCAATGTGAATTGTAAAAAAGCTAATTAGACATAATAAAGCTTTCCAGCAGTAAACAACGTCTCCTCCCATTTTAAATGTTTTGTAAGTTCAATTATAAATGGTTACAACTCAAAATATAACATGTAGGTAAGCTAAGCATTGTTTATTTTTTTTTAACATAAAACCGTTCATTATTTTCACTTTCATATTAGGATCAAATAATTTCTCATTCTTTTCTTTGAAGTGCATACTCCTTCATTCTTACGAGAGAATTTTCTCCTTGAAGAGAGGAGGAGATGGAAGAGAAATTTGTTATTTTAAATTTTCAGTTTCCTAATTCCTCAAGGTCCAAAACTTACCTGCCTCCAGCTTTTAATTATAATCAAAATAACACCATGTTCCTTTTTATCAATGGTGCTGCTTTTAAGTCCAATTTCTTTCTTTTTTTTCATTTTTTTATATTTTTTTTATGAATCTGTTTTTTATTTTATTTTAATTTATTCATACTTTCTTTTCTAAAAATATAAAATGTTTCAATTCTATTAAACTGCATTGAACTCACTGTCTGCAACACATTAATAATAACTGGGAAAGATGCAGTAGCGTAGATAGGGGAGGGGGTCCCGGTCTGCTCCCCCTTAGCCTCGTTAATTGTACCCTTTTTTTACTTTTGGAGGACAGACAAAATATAATCAGGGATGTACACAAAATAATGTAAATGGACCCCCCCCCCCTAAAGAATTCTTAGCTACGCCACTGGAAAGATTCCAAAATTGAAGAAGGAAATGCTCAGTGAAAAATTATGATTCTCAGTTAATTCTTTATTTTTTGTTTGCCAACTTGTAAACGTGATCCATAAGATTTAGATAAGGTATATACCTCGCTTGTGCGAAGGGATAGTCACTTGCCTACTCAGATGTGAGCAGTTACTCACTCTCAAGTTGTGCAGATTGAAAAACGGAATGAGTCAGTTCAACTCAAGAGGAATGAGCCGACAAACATTTGTATCCTACAGTATTTGACACAAGAAAAATCATGAGGAAATCGAGATCTTGAAACATCTTGTCTCAGCAAAAAAATTGTGTCTGCTTTTTGCAGGGGCAGTTTCAATGCGTTTGAAAGTAAGCATTTGCATTAGCTCAGGAAGTAGAGAATGTGTAATACATAAATACAATGGTGTATGAACGGTAGCTCTGGGCTCAAAACTGTACCATCTATCTTTGAATCTTGCACTGTTGGACAAGACACCCCTATCAAATTCCACAAAGAATTGTGCTGCCATATTGACCATGACTTTTTGCTGCTCTAGCCTTGATGAGCGTACAACTTAAATCCCTTTCAAATCTACCTAATTTTTCAATTTTGAGCATGAAACTCCCTCCAGCTTGCAGTCATCAAAATAAAAAAAAATCTAGGAATACTGCTGTAGGCCCAGTTCACTCAATATTTCTAAAACATACGATAACAAAATTGACTTAAACTGACTCATTCTATCAAAATTGCTGAAAAACGTGTTAATAATGTACACTTGTATGGATGTTATTCATGAATGTGATACTGGTCAGGTTCTTTGATGTTCTCCTTTCCTAGATTATCTCAAACTCCCGCATGAGCAGTCAAATCCTCACCCATAAATCTCTAAGCGTAGTTTAGTAATTACCTGTTTAAATGATAAAAAAAGTATTTTTGGAATGTATATTACAGTAATTTTACTTCATAGAGACCTGATCAATTGTGTATACTTAGCTAAATACTGTATTTTCAAAATTCATTATTTTTTGTTAATTATGTCATTAATCTTGAGGGAGATGCTTAGGCTAAAAAACAAAATTCAACAAAATAATTTTATGACTAAATAAAATTAAGTAATGATTGATTATCTATGTAAAAAAAGTATGAAATTTAAATTGAGTCCACTCCGTCTAATTGGGACCTTGGTTAATCAGGACAACCACTTCATTGGGATGATATTGCCTGCAAGGGAATCTTTTACAAACTATACATACTAGCAATGTAAAAAATTCCTCTTTTTCGGGACATCCGCTTAGTCAGGAAAAAATTGCTCGGGATGGATGTGTCCCAATCCCAATTATGCAGAGTTGACTGTTTAGGATAAAAAAAATTTTAAAAATGAAGAGAATGTACCCATTTATTTTCAACGATTTGATTGGAAATCGGTTGCATTCTCTTTACTTTTGTGATCTTTGAGCAAAGAATTTAAAAGATAACTTCTGTCAGTATATGGAAGTATAATGTGGGATGTTTTCATTAATTTCCTATTTTTCATTGTTTCATTCTCATTGCATTTATTAACAACTTGGGTTTAATACCCTATATTTTTACTTGTGCTCACTCAGTAATTTCTGTGAAATTGGCTCCCTGGGTTTAGGGCTATTATGCTGTTGAGCCTTTCCTTCCCATTTCTTTTTTTTATTTTGAATGAATTTGTCAGAGAGTTTTGGTGCATGATTCATGCTTAGTTTTGATGCGCCTATCTTTAAAATCTCACTGAAAATTCCTGTCATGTATTTTTTTTTATTTTTTATAACAATTTAAGCTCCGCATAACTCACTAAATTTATGATTAGCCATTTGAAAATAATAGCAAAACTTGTAAGAGAACTTTGTAAACATGAGCACCTGATGAATATCAGAAAATATGGTCAAATGATAAATCGTCATCTTCAAGTTTCACTCTTTTGATTTTTGTTGGTTTTAACGAACTAACTGCAATTTTTTTCATTATTTTTTTTTATCCAATGTGTGAATAGTGCATTTACAGAGAATTTGTTCTTTTTTATGCATGAAATATCCAGCGTCACTCTACAAATACTTTGACTTTTTTCATTCCCTGAGAAATGTAGAACTCTGTGATGAAAGAATGATGGTTCTACTAAAATGGTAATTTTTTTTCATGATTTTTGAATGACCAATACTCTAGTTTAGGAAAGTATTTTGAAATAACGGTAAACTTTTCTCCTTTTCAGTCCTTGCGAGTTTAGTCATCTGCCCTCCACCAGTCCACTCTTTAGAACCCAGCCATCAAAAAGTTTAAGACTATCGTCTAAACGTGTAGGTAATTTTATATTATTTCATAATAGGGCAATACTCAGTTCTGAATTTAAGGAAAAATCTTCTCATTTTCAGAGCTCACTAATTGTACGAAAGCCTTTAATTGCATCTGTATACTTTCTTTGTCCAGAGTGACACATTTTATACTCACGGTCTTGCAAATTTTTTAAGCTTTCACACTATGGAATATATTAGTGTTTACTACGTTTTGGGCACTCTTATCATTGCATTTGTTGTATTTTTTAATTGTTTCCATTTTCAATAATACTTACTGTACATTCATAAATTAAAAGAATAATTTTTGTTGTTTAAATCTTTAGTTTTATTTCCTCATAGTAATACCATGAAAGTTTGCTTGAAAAAAAGCAGGATCGAAAGCAAAAAAGCGTAAAGAAGAAAGAACAGTACTTTGAATTACAAACGGATCTTCAATTAATAAAAATAGGTATTAGAAGTGCAAGGAAACTTATGAATTTGATACCTATGAGAATTAAAATGCTCTTTCAAAAACTTGTCGGCAGCAGGAATACACTCTTCAGTGAAATTGTAAAAACTAATTAATTTTTGACAAAATGTGTTGATATTGGTTTCAGTCTAGAGCTAACATTTAAAATTAGACAGGAATCATATCTCCAGCGCTTTAAAATGTCTACATTTGGGACAGGTGATGTCCCACTGTCCCAGAAGTAACCAATAGACTGCTTCAACTTGATGTTTGCTGTATGATATCTTAATCATGAAAGCTTTATAAAATCAATAGATATTTTATTGAGACATCCTGTTGCTAAAAAGCTATAAAGAGATAATACAGAATTACTGAAATTCAAAGCTGATCAGATATTTTGAAAGTCTCCTTGATTTGACTGATAAACTTGATTCATGCTTCATTTGGATTGAAATATTTTTTCAAAGATTCCCAGCATTTGTAGTACTCAGCATCCAGTGTTTGACATATCTCTTCTCCCCATTTTGATACCGCCAGACTCAGAGAGCTCTCAAACATAAATGCCTGGAATTTAAAGAAAGAATATGAGTGAAACTTGTAAGACATTCTAAAAGTATTCTCCATCAAATAAACCTTAAAATTAAGTGTCCCATGCCCTCATTTCTTAACGCTTTTGGATCAAAATTGAGGCCTCTGGAATATTTACAATTACCAATGTGTGATTTTTTGCATAATTGTTTGCTTGCCGAGCAAAGAAAAATTTTCCTCCGATGTAAGTTTCTTTTTCACGGGTGAAAATTTACTCCCATTAGCTTCTGCTTCATGTTTTCATTTAATTTTCGATAGGCTCTTAAATCGAATATTTCTGTCTGGACTCTACATGAGCCGTTTCATTAACTATACCCAGCCATTCTTCAAACTAACTTCCTATCTCTCCTCTGTTTCAACATTTTCTTTCAAATCTAATGCTCGTCGTTTCTAATGTCGCCAAACATAGTGCGACCGCTGGTTGGCGCGAAATGCATATTAGCGCCTACAAGACTGCAGGAGCACTTCACACATTGCGCCTAACGGCCGCTCGTCGGCGCAAAAAGCATGTTAGCGCCTACAAGAGTGCAGGAATACTTCACGCATTGCGCCTAACGCAGTACGGTCGCTCGTCAGCGCAAAAAGTATATTAGCGCCTACGAGAGTGCAGGAATACTTCACGCATTGCGCCCAACACAGCGCGGTCGCTCGTCGGCGTGAAATGCATAAGGGCAATTCTACAAAACTGTCCAAACTGACCGATTGCAACTTATTTCCGCAAAAAACCCTCTGTATATGCAATTGGCAGATTGCCCTTTTTTAGAGCTAACTTGACTGGACTATGTACCTTATCTTTTCAAATGTAATCAATCTAACGTATGGTAAAACAGTATATTTGATTGTTTAATTTTTCATCATTTTGCAAAAGAACCCCTTTAGTAAGTGAATTTTCTTCTCGAATCCCTTTTGCATGACCATGTTAGTCTGTGCAGTGTAGGAGACATGACTACTGATTAGCTTAAAACATTTAATTATAGAAAAATAATATTAAAATAGAATTACCATTGTGCCATCTGCCACTCTCACAGGTTTGAGATCTGCATTTGAAGCGCCCTCAAAACATTGTTTATCTGGACCGTGAGGTGTCATCATAGAATGTAAGGAAGCACCACCCGGCAAAAATCCTTCTTCTTTAGCCTCATAATTTCCAAAGATCAGGCCCATAAACTCGCTCATGCAGTTACCTGAAATGTGATGAACATTTTTTATGGAATTTCTACGCTTTGAGAGTTAAATACCTACATTCATTGAATTATTTTCTGCAGAATATTGGTCAGATTTTGCTGTAGGTTCTTTCCTAAATTACAATGGATCACTAGACAAGGTACGAATTTAAGCAATCTGATACATGTTCCCTAACCAGAATTTCACGCAGAGGACGACTCGCGCAACGAAAATTACTGGAACCAAATCCTGACGAAGATAATAACGTTTTTATTTCACATTGGTCACGAGGAAATTGAACTGCCCGCTCACAAAAAACTCAAAGCTCTACGTGAGTCAAATCGCGCACTACAACGGCTTCAGCAAGCTTCTCAATCGAGCAATGTTCATTTCTCACCATGTGTGGTTTTAACTATAAGGAATTTGTCATAGCTGGGCCAAAGCGTCAAGACTGAGGTTGCCAGATTTTCATCTCGCACAGACTGTCATGATAACATTTAGCGTTCGATGTGAATCACGTAGAGCATTGAGTTTTCGTGAGCGGATGGTTTAAATTCACGCATCAAGAATCATTAATTATCTTCGTAAGGAGTTGATTTCGGTAATTTTCGTTGTGCAAATCGTGGTTTACGTGAAATTTTGGTTAAGAAACATGTATCAGAATGCTGAAATTCGTACCTTGTCAAGTGGTCCATTGTACGCAAAATTAAAATAAAAACTCAATTCGCACTGGTCCTTCAATCCCCTTCCAAAGTATCTTAAAGTTTTACTCCTGTATCAAACTTAAAGAAGCTAGACTGCTCTTATTGTAAGTAACTATCACTTGAAACTAACTAGATGTAACTGGATGATTGTAAATGTAATAAACCAACTTTTTGCGACCAGTACGTAAAATATATTGATGCTTATCACACCAAACAGCAATAGGTGTGGCATAGCAAATAAAAAGATAAAAAATAAATTATGAAAATTAAATGTGCCAAAAAGTGTTTGCCTGGCCCAGGCAGTAAGAATAATTTGAAGTTATACTAGGTACAGCTACTGACTTTAGTCAAAATACATAATTTTTATCCAACTGCTAATACTTTTGATATCGTTTGATTATTGGATGGCCATTTATTTGATGACATGGACAGCCACCTTTCCCATTAGAAAAAATCGCGAGAGCACAAAGAAAGTAGCTAGTTTTGAATATTTACTTACGATGGTAGTAAGGCGGTCTGAAAGTGTGCTCTTGAACTGCCCATCTTGGAGGAAATATCACAAAATCGGCGATTGCTGTTCCCTCTTTATTTGAAGGACAGGTCAACACTGTAAATATTGATGGGTCCTATTCAAAAGATCACATACTTTCATTAAAAATCTGAAGATTGTTCAAATTCTTGAGAATAAGGCCTATTGCCATCTTATAAAACAAATCATCCCTCTGTATTTTTCTACTTGAACCTGTTTGTCATGCACAGGGAAAACTTGCGTTTCCAGCTAAGTAGTACAGTGACGCATCTTTGGGTACTTGTAACTGTGCATGAGAGCGAATTTTAATGGAGATCATCTTTTCAGTAAAGAGACTTTTGTCAAATTGGGTCGAAACATTAACATGAGTTTTGAGGCAAAACACTACCTAGCTCCTAGTGTTCAGTAGAACAAGTTGGAAAATCAAGCCTACTTAATTATTTTACCAATTAAGGGCGCAGACTTGCGCTTCAATCCAACAATTTTGAGCCGAATTTTAAATTCGCTTTTTCTTGATATTATGTTCCTGGAACTGCCACCCAAGTACCTAGCACAGTGCAACGAAAATATTGAAATTAAGGAGCAAATTTGATTTCAATACCATTGTTATTTTTTACCATCAAATTTCAATATTTTTATATCACTTAGTCGATTTATGCCGATTCTAAACAATCGACAAAATGAGCTCCATATGTCCGAAAGGTAGGCGATATGCAATGCAATGAAAAATAACAACTTAGGTATTTCAATTGTATCGCGATAAGTTTCAATAAATGGGGCTCCTTCAAATGGGAGCTAAGCAACATACACAACACTCAGTTGAATTGCAATATTTTTACTATGTAATTGCTACTTATTGCAGTCTGTGCTACTTGGGAAACTTCTAACTCCAGATTGATTTGACAATTTTGGATGTTCTTTTGCCTGTTAGATGATTCAAATATGCTCAAAGGATTCAAGGAGTGTTACTAATATCTTAATTTCCAATATTTCCACAATTAAGACATATTTTAAGGCTCAAAGTGGGCCTGTTCTCTTTTGCTAGCGATAGACTTATTTTAAAGCCTCATTTTTATATGACACACAAAGGCTTTTAAGTAAGTCTTGAGGTATCCTCAAACCAATGCTAAGAAAATATGAAAGACCTCTTCTTTTGAGCATGTCGTTCATGAAATAATTCTCATTCCAAAAAACTCTCTCATCAAGAAACTTCCCCACATCCCCATATTGTTTCCCCATTGAAAAATTACTTGTCCTCTTTCACTTTCCAATGTGGGAGCGAAAACTGAAGAAATACATACCGAACGTACGAGGGTAATCCTAAAAGTCTTGCGCGTTTTGCTCTCATTTCAATATTATCAAAGCTAGAGAAAATCCGATTACCTGTACACATGAGGCATACTTACAGCTTTAATTTAAGCTCAAGTTTGTTAAAATTTGATTGAAAGGACGCTCAGGGGGCTATTCCTTCCGCACCGCCTCCGATGCGTTTCCTGCCACCTCCAGGCGCACGATTTCCGTGCGTGATAAGAAAGATGTGCGGACGATTTCGGCCAATCTGATCCAGGGCCGGATTTAGGTACCTACTTGCCGTCCATGGGCCGCCTGTATTTTGCCGCCCCTTTCTCATTACTTTTGAAACATCCATAAAAACCATCAAGTGAACGTGTCAGTGGGGGATGGGTGCATAAGACGCGTTTACTCGTGTTGAACACATTTTGTGCGAAAGCCCTGTCAACACTACTAGCAAAAGTCACGGAACTTTGCGGAACTGTTAAGTTACGTAAATCTATCCCTGTGTGGACAAGGCCTGCCATTTATAAGAAATGAGCGAAGAAATTATGTAAAAACAATCATAAATGTGCTTTAATAATCTTAACTTCCGCCGCCGCCGCGCTGCCCCGGCTGACCGCACTGAAGTTTGGTGCAATGCGTGAAGTATTCCTACGGTCTTGTAGGCGCTATGCGTTTCGTGTCGACTGCTGTTGACCGCACTGTGTTTGGCGCAATGCGTGAAGTATTCATGCAGTTATGTAGGCGCTAATATGTGTTACATACCGACCGCCGTGCAGAGGACTTCTCCATTTCATCTCAAGTCCTCGGCATCATTGCTCTCTGTGCCGCGCCGTTCCAGGCCAAATTGCGTGTACTTGATTTCTCGCTTATCTCGACTAATTAAACGTGCCGTTTCTCGTATCACCGAAAGACGACAAAATTAGAACTTACAATACTCTCAGGAAATGAGAGATTTTGTCGCTTTATCTCTTTTGGAATTTTTTTTCTGAATCCGATTTTTTTTTATAGCTACATTTAAAATAATTGCAAAAATTGCCGCCCTTTAAATTTGCCACCATGGGCCGCGGCCCATGTGGATGTGGCCACCCCTTGAATCCGGCCCTGATCTGATCCAGTCGCATTGAAATCCTTATCAATATTTTTTACCAGGTTGTTAACCTGATCAGCATGCTGTTTTTTAGGCCTTTGATGATGAGTGCAAACCGTGTTCTTTCAACATTTGTGTACCTAAGCTTATTGTGTAATGTGTGTTGTAAAGTTATGGCACTTTCAAAGCCAGAAAACTGTGAAGTTCGGTTCGGTTAGTAATTCGAGTTTTGACTTTGGCAGGTGTTAGGGCATGTGACATTATTCCTCGACTTCAAGCAGTTTATATGGGAAATGCGAAGAGCGATGGAAATGTCCGGAGGTTGATCCAATCGTTTCGAGAAGAAAGAACAGAGGTGCACGATGAAGCCCGAGATGGCAGGCCAAGTGTGATCGCAGTGACTTAGTGCAATGAGATCGACGCTTTTATCTGCGAAGATCGCCGAATGACATTTAAGGAAATGCTCGAATATTTTCCTGTAATGTCTCAATCTGTCTTGCATCAAATCGCACATGAATGGTTGAATTAAAAAAAAATTCCAGCCAAGTGGGTTCCGAAAATGCTAGCTTACCGCGCGCATGGAGGTGGCGGGAAACGCATCGAAGGCGGTGCGGGAGAAATGACCTCCTGAGCGTCTCGTTCATCCGATTTTTAAAAACTTGGGTTTAAATTAAAGCTGAAAGTATGGCTCATGTGTACGTCTATTCGGATTTTCTCTAGCCTTAATAATTTTAAAATGAGAACAAAACGCGCAAGACTTCTGGGATTATACCCTCGTATAAGTTAAACTATCAACATTTTGTTCCGCTACTGAGGTGTTTTCATTTCTTGAAAACTATGAACTCACTGATTTGTGTAAGTGAGTGGTTAACTGGTTCGTAAATCATTGTTTCATTAAGCAACTAAGGGCCTTACATCAGAGGAAATCACCCTTCTTTTTGACACTTCCAGCTCCCTCCCCTTGAATTCGGTGATAAACTATTGAAAAGAGAATTCACAGGAAAAACTGTGAAACTAGATTCAGAAAGTATACATCACTCCAATTGCTGTTTTCTGCTACGTTGGCCTATAAGGAGCTCTCAACTCAAAAATTTACAATGATGCCTCAATCATGTAAAACTTTCACGAAGTGTTTGTTATGTTGAATCTGGTGATACTCACAGCATGATCGAACTCCACAGCGTTGATGACCATGAAATTTTTTAGGTTGTATTTGTAGGGGGCATAGTTTCCATGCCACGCAACAACATCAAATGGGCTATGTGGTTGCACAGTTTCAAATAAGTGGCCTTGAAATTTTGAAATAATTACATGTGGCTCATCAAATTCTTCGTACCACGCAACTGGGGTCAAAAAGTCTCTTGGATTCGCTAGTCCATTTGCACCTGTTATTAATCAAATAGCATGTTTGAAATTTCAAAATTAAATTAAAGGAATGACATGCATCCCATCAAGGGGCATTCAATGAGTAAGTTTACCTTTCATCTAAGGTGAAGAGGTAAAATACCTCCATGCATTTTATGGATTTTCCTGTTTCGACGTTTAGTTACGGTACCTGGACATTTATTGTCATTATGATTACGTTTTCTTATCATAAAAACTTCCGTGGATCAAACTTGGTGTTTTATATGCACTCGGTCATATTTTTCTGACCATGCTCTAGTGCTTATTGCGACTCTGGCTAGATAAAGAAAACTTTGCATGCAACAAGCAAATTATTACAAAACCAAGCCTTACCAATCGGGCCGAGATTCGGGAGTTTAAAATGATTATCAAACACCTCCAAAATATATCCGCGAGATGCTTCCTCAATGTCCACAGAGAATTTTATTCCTTGCTGTGAAAATTAATCGGGGAAAAATTAGACTTTTCAGAAAAGATGTAGGCACAGCTTTACAAATGTAAAATTGATACTTCCATTTACCTCCTTTCACAGGTTTTTTTTTTTTTTTTTTTTTTTTTTTTTTTTTTTTTTTTTTTTTAAAAATAAATAAAGCAAATAACAGAGGAGTGACCTCTCCTTAATACTTGATGTTAACTTTTTAAGCCCCCAAAGAATATCAAAAGAATAATCTTTACACGGCCGAAGCCCGTAAAATTACGTTTCCTTCTCTTCTCTACTGCACTTCACTTTATCTTCTGGACGAAAAGTGAATAACAAATTGCTCGAAAAACAAAAATTAATCATGCGGTTATTAAAGTACATAATTTCGAGAATTAGGCAAGAATACTGACGTGATAAGTAGGCTTTTACCTGAATCACACAAATTTCATTAGGTTCTACTCTTATCTTCCCAAATTCGGTCTTGATATTTAAGGCTCCCTGCTGCGGCACTGAAAGAAGATGCAATTTTCATTCCTTCAATCTCTTAGCAATGAAAACGTTTTTATTTATTTCAAGGAATTTATTTCACGTTATTGTGGTTCCTTGATAGGAACGCATGTAATGACTGGATTTAACGCTCGCTGCGCTTGTACTTCTTTTTTTGTGAGAGGCTAGATGTGTCAATTGCTTGTTTTTCTATGTTTCTTGTCCAATTGAATCACGTAGTTCCACAGCTGACCACAATCTTTATTTTCTAAAACTCTCGTCTCAACTTTGTCTATCCGACCAGGATAGTTGGAGCACTATAGTGCTTCAAGTAGTGCTCCTAGTTTCTCCTGCGCAAGACGTACTTACTCATATTGAACTATATCTGGAAATGTGTTTTTTCTGTTAAAGTAGGTAAGAAATTAAAAATTACATGAATTTAAAGATGCTGGTATTAAAGGTCGTTTTTAAGAAAAGTTAGATACGGCCATTTTTTGATGTAAGGGCACAATTTAATTTATATCTGATGATGCACATGAATTAAAGAATTAGAATGAAATAATGCGATGTGAAAATTTTAAGCTATTGAAAGCAGTCACTAGGATCATAAAAAGGTTAAAACTTAGGAAAAACTTACCAATGAGAAAATCACCATCTGAATTGTAGAATGCTTTTTTTTCCATGGAAATATTGCATAGATAAATGTGGATGGCAAGACCAGAACGCGATTTTGGATCACCAGCACCGCAGATTGTGTGTAAACCTTCTACAAAATCTACTCGTTTTTGTGCGTCTGGTAATTTAAAAGGTTTCCAGCGCATCTGGAAAGTTAAAAAAGGACAAGAAAATGAAGACAATCACGAGAAAACAATTGTTTCGTAATATGATTCTAGGTATCCTGTTTCCAATTTCTGTTCACTAAGAACCAACCAAAATGTTTGTATAAAGTTTTTGTCACAACGAGAAACATTGGCAAAAACCATACGAGACTCCAATAATGAGCCAGAGGCAGTTAGGGGGCTTTCAAATATCTTGCAGATAAACTTATTTTGTAGCTAAGTAGCATTATGCAAGTAAGTTTACCTATCTATACTTATGAGACCTTTTCAAAAAAAACCCTTTATGTAACCCGAGGCTTGCTCGATGAATTGTATGGGGCCGGTTCACACGAGCTTTAGACGGGGGTTTGCAAATTCATACTAAAAAAAAAAAATCAGATAGGTATGAACCTAAAAAAGGATAGACGTATTCTGTCCTCTTTTTTAACTTTCCTCCCGAATCTGAACAACACCTCATTGGCAGCATAAGGCGGAGCATTGAGAGTTCACGCCTTGCGCCATCGCGCCTTCAATTTTGCAGATGCAACACGGACATCCATCAAGTACGAATAGTTGCATCCCTGCGCCGTTATCAACGCGCGTCCTTTCTTTTGCTCTATTTCTATATTATGTTTGTTTCCGTTTGTCTTATTCGTAGTGGTGCTTCAAGGGCTGCGAGAGTAACACAGCCGAAGAAAGGAGAGACGTATATTTGAACGTATTTTTGCCAAACGGAACTACGTGCATTAAGACATGAGCCCTGAGATCCATAAGTATACATGCACAACAGGGCTCACGTCATAATGCACATAGTTCCGTTTGGCAGAATTACGTCCATTTGGGCCTCCTTTTTTATCATTTCCCCCGAATCTGGGCGACAATTCGGAAGCATAAAGCAGAGCTATAGAGCATCGCGAGTTTACACCTTGCTCCATCGCGCCTTCAATTTTGCGGATACAGCATGGACAGCCATCAAGCACGAATAGTTGTATCTCTGCGCCGTCTTCAACGCGCATCCTGTCCCTTGCTCTACTTCCATATTGCGTTGGTTTCGTTTGTCTCATTTGCAGTGGTACCTACAACTATCATGAAGTAAAAAATAACGGAAGAGCACTCACTTGATTTGGATTTGGGAGACAGTCATGCCAATTATTGATTAAAAAATTATTTGGTACAGGTTTGAACGGCTTATGGATTACAGATGGTCTGATTCTGTACAGCCATGATCGTTTATTTTCATGTCTTGGGGCTGAAATCAGAGAACAATATAAATTTGGAAGAGCGCATTGAATTAGAGTCACAAAAAATAAATTAATAATTAAAAATAAATACAAAAATGTACAGTTGAAGATAAATTTTGAAAGAAGAATTAAAAGGTTGATAAATCACCCTTGAGGGACAGATTAGTGCATTTATAGTTTTTCTAATGTAAGAATGACATTCATAAGATCAATTACAAAATTATTTGTTTTATTTAAGAGCAAAAAAAATTACAGGGTATAGGTCGAATCAGCGGAAGAAGGAAGAGGAATAAGAGGAGAGGAATAAGAGGAGGAGGAAAGCAGGGCCAGATTTACCTACTTGCCGCCCATGGACCGCCTATATTTTGCCGCCTTCTTCTCGTTCGTTTTGAAACATCAAAAAACAATCAAGTGAACGTGCCCGAGGGAGAGGGGTGCATAAGACGCGTTAACTCGTGTTAGACACATTTTTTGCGAAAGCCCTGTCAGCACTACCAGCAAAAGTTAAGTTCCGTAAACCTATCTCTGTGTGGATAAGGCCCTCCATTTATAAGAAATGAAAGAAAAAATTACGAAAGAACAAACATTCATGTGGTTTAATAATTTTAACTTCCACCGCCGCGCCGCGCTGATCGCACTGTGTTTGGCGCAATGCTTGAAGTATTTGTTGGAATATGAGGAAAAAGGAGACAAATTACGATCTGCTTACGAACTGGTTTATTCGTCGCCCATCGCTGGGGCGGTTATCAACGCAACTGACAAAAACGATATTGAGGATTGAAGATTCACAAACAGGAAAAGTTACATAATCATTGAGGTCGATGCACGATATAGATTTAGATAAGTCAACAGTATTCCTACAGTCTTGTAGGCTCTATGCGTTTCACGCCAACCGCTGCTGAACGCACTATCTTTGATGCAATGCGTGAAGTATTCATGCAGTCTTGTAGGCGCTAATACGTGTTACATGCCGACCGCCGCGCCGAGGGCTTCTCCTTTTCATCTCAAGCCGCTCCAGGCCAAATTATACGTGTTTGGTTTCTCTCATAACTCAACTAATCAAAGGTGCCGTCTCTTAATTGTACCACCGCAAAATGACAAAATTAGAAATTAATATACTCTCAGGAAATGAAAGATTTTGTCGCCTTTACTCGTCTGTAATTTCTTTTAATACCTACATTTAAAAAAAAATTGCATTATTGGCCACCCCCTAAATCCGGCCCTGGGAGAAGGTTGACAATAACCCGAAAAAGACGTCGGAATACCTATGGAGGATCAGGTTCAAGAATGAGAAGGTTCCTTCATGGTAACACTAGAGTGAGGAAAGAAAAAGTTGCGAACCTGTAAAAGCAGTTCCTGAGAGCTGTTCTGCATAGAGACCATAAGCACATTTTTGTGGGTTGTTCTGGCCTTCAGGCAAAGCATTTGGGCATCGATGATCCTCCGTTTGAAATTCATTGCCAAAACCTTTAAGGTACTGTAAAAAGTATTCAAAGGTTTTCATCAGAATACGCGAAAAGGTTTTTTTTTTTTTTTTTTTTTTTTTTTTTTTTTTTTTGTCTGCCGAAAATCACGTTTCTACGCACTTTTCCGGGAAATGGCTTAGTAATCGTCGTACCGAGAGTTGTGTAACTAGCAAAGCAGTAGCCGTTCGTAAATTTCCGACAAAATTGAGGATATTAAGTTTCGTGCAAGGACTTAGATTTAAGCCACCAGAGCGCACGAAAGTTCGAAATGGGCTAATAAATCACGTTTTCTCGCGCTTTTCCAGCCGTAACTCCCTTCTTAACTTATAATACTTAAATAAACATGGCAAGATAAACTTTAAATTACAGTTTGTTACGATGGTACCTGGCTCCCTCTGCGACTAACGTAGAGCAATCTTGACGCAGCATCAGCTGAGCACCAAGGATTCGTTGTATGGCACACGGTATGCAATAACCGATACCGCATATTTAATACAGTTACATTGAACACAATTACACTTCGACGCAATGGATATTTATTGTTTGAAATTTGTTAATCGGCAGGAATCCTTTCAGCACAAAAGAAGCAACATCATTTAAAGTCAAATTCTGACTCCTCGGAGCGCACTTGTCTCGGCTCGACAGGATATTCCTGAATCATCGCATCCGTTTCAAGCCAGCAACAATTTTTTGTTCTTCTTTTTTATGACATTTACAATGCACAGTTATCGTCGCGAGGAAGGCAGTAGCTTGTGTTTTTTTTTTATCTTTTCTTCTAATATTTGCTCTCCGCAATAAGCGCAAGCCTTATTTCTCGACTCCTACTAACACCTATCTAGCCGTTTTAAGTGGCCTCTCACAGATGAAATGCACACCAATTGGACTGCATTTTGTAATTTGGAACTATAAATTCTGGCCCAGTTTAAAAACAACGTATGTGCCATTCGTTTCCCTATGCTTATGAGTGTTTTTTTCAGATGAGCCAGAATTTACAGTTCCAAATTGCAAAATGTAGTCCAATTGTAGATTATCGATACAGCGCGCGAATTACCATCGAGAAACATTCCGACATAAAAATGATCAAAATCAGCAGAAAACTCAGAGGAATTCATCCGTACACTTGGACCGACAATGGAATATTAAAAGCTTGCTGTCAGTCTCAGATTCCCAGTGTCACATGTTTTGACATACTTAACACCCGTTAACACCCTCAAAAATGCATATCGGCAGGGGCTGACCGAAATATATGGGCAGCTTAGGATGTTAGATTTTGCATGATGTACAATAAAGGTTTTCACCCCTTCTAGCCATCCTCCTCCGATCATGCCTGTCTTTTCACTTTTCACACACCTCGTTGAAAATCATGCCCATTCCTCTATCTGCTTTTGTACTGCCACAATTCACAAGGTTTCGGAGTGAGCTTTCCCGGCATTACGGGTGACTACAGTTGTTTCGGCCTTTATTAATGGACTATGGTCAAGACTGAGGATGCTGTATATCTTCAAGTCGGACGAGAGCAAAAAATCACATGTACGCTCGTTTGAATTGCGTCCTTGTAACAACACACAGATTATTCTTCATTCGATGCTTTAGAGTCGCTCGTCAAAGTTGTGAGCGGAATAAAAGCTCACGTGATAAACTTGATACGCGATTCGAATATTTTTTGCAGTAATACTGATTATTTTTTGAATAACATGCTTCTATCAACGCAGTTTTAGGACAAAAAAATCGACGTAATTGCCTACCTACTTATGAGGGTTTTTTTGCACTTCGGCGCGCTCTACCGGCCGAAAAGAGATTCTCATCGAAAAACGGCTCCTAATTACTAAGTTTGTTAAAAATTTGCTTGGCTACACCGTTATTTCTAATGACTTCTTCGAATAAAAGGTCAATTAATTGATGGAGTTACGGCCGGAAAAAGGTGAGACAACGTGATTTTTGGCCCATTTCAAACTTTCTCGCGCTCTAATGGCCTAAATATAAGTCCTGGCGCAAAATTTAAAATCTTCAACTTTGTCGGAAATTTACTTGCCTAAGTAAAGTTTTGCTGATAACTGATTTTCAGTTCTGACGATTATTAAGCTATTTATGCCCAGGAAAAGTGCATAAAAACGACATTTTCGGCAGTTTCTCGGCTTTCTTGGAAACCGCACAAGGCGGATTGGGTGGGAAACATCAAATTTGGTTTCAGCAACCAAGAATACCTACATAGCTTTATCCTCTTCTGACCTCTTTCTTGCATTCATAACCCCCTTTCGAGATATATTGGTACTGTACTATAAGTATAGTGACTTCGGAACTTGCTGTGTTAAGGTGATGTTTGAATTCCATCAGGGTGATGGCCTGAGGAAGTGCCTGGAGTAAGAAGCTTAATTTCGATCGAACAGAGAAAAAAATAAATATGTAGCAGCAATGACCATTTGTAACTTGTCTTTCAATGATTAGCTGAGTGATTTAAAAGCTTATTGCTTTGGAGAAGAGTAGATTATATATAAAAAAATCTACAAGGGGTGGTTTCTTTGCAAGACGAGAAATTAGTTTGAAATAAATGAAACATTTTTCTTACTCAATGGAATTCGGAAAATCAATGCAGACCAAAGACCATTGAGGAAATCGAAATGACACACTGATTTGACAAAATAAAATTTCACCAAAATAGAAGGATAGCTTTCCATAATTACCTGCAGGTCGGTAAACGACATCATGAAGAGCACACCTAACAACACTATGTTAGTAACAAGATAAAGAAAAAGAACTTTAATAAGAGCAGGATAACACAGTTGTATTAGTGGCACAGTTATAAATAGAATGTTCAAGAAATCAGTCTGAGAGGGAAAACGGATGGATATGGTGTATAGATTCATGAAGAGTCTCTGCTGCTTCAGAGAAATCTGACCAAGCAAGTGGTCAACAAATACCCTGCAGCAAAATGAGTTGATTTGGATGGCTTCCAAAGATACCAGTTTTGTTGGATTCCACCACCACTGTCTCATAACAAGTAAACACACTACTGCCTCTCCTATAATAAGACAGAACTGAGGGAAGAAAGGGAAATGAAAAAAAGGTAAACCTCCTTATAAAAAATCGGTGTCTAGATGACAACAACGGAGCCGTGCCAAAGAAGAACGGCATATGATCGTTCAGACGTTGCCAAATTCTCTGTGATAAAATATGAATTTGCAGGGAACTCTGAATACTTTTTTTCAAAATGTCTTGAAAATTTTATTCAGGATCAGATCTAAATCATCTGAAAAGTTCAAGAGAGAATATTCATATCTTTCCTTAAAAATTAACATTTTATAGGAGAAAATTTGGCAACTCTGGAATGTTCAAACGGCGTTTTTCCTTAGCACGGCAGACGAGCATTTCCATGAGTGAGCATACTCGAGAGAGTGATCAAAAGACACCATCTAGAGTGCTTTACTCACCCATGAATATGGAATATTAGTTTATGGAATATCAGAAAAATTAAACTGTCATAAACTCAGGCTTTTGAATGAAATAATTCAACTGACTAAAAAGACTAAAGAAAGGTTACTCTGGAGTTCAAAATGTTGACGACAGTGAAAAGCATTTAATGCTCCTGAGTGCCAAACCCAAAGCGACAATCTTAAATTACTCCTGAAACAGTCAAGTTCTGGAGATGCAGCAAAGAGTAGACTCAGTTCAGGCTAGAAAATGTTAACCTCACATGGTGAAATTTATCACATTCATGAACTTTAGCATGGCAGTTAAAAAGGTACGGTTTCAATAGGGGAAAATAATCTCTTGACAGATAATACCTTGATGATTAAATACTAATTTGATAACTTGTGCAAGTAATGTTGATATGTGGATGAAGTAAGATAAATATTGCAAGTAATAATGAAGTAACAGATGTAAAAGTGAAGTTAAAAACACTAAAGAAAGAGCACCAATGACTTCAGGCTTTGAAAATACAGTTGAGAATATGTACTTTTAAGTAAATAATTGCATTCATATCAGAGATTTTTCATTATTGTGTGGTATTGTGACAAAAATTGAGGATGTAATGATATAGAATTATCAGTGTATTATAAAAGTAAATAGGTCAGTGATAATGAGTCAATATGATACGCTACGTAAAAAAAAAAGAGGAAAATATTTCTTTAGGATAGGTATTATTTAAACTGAGTTTAGTGGGAAGGGTACAAAAACATTGCAATATTGCTAAAATTGTGCAACTTTTTTCTTCCTTTGCAAAAAAATAAAAAAGCAAATATCAGAAGCACAGACTTGTTTCTTTTCTGATAAATTGTTTTTATTTTTTGTAAAAATGAAAATTCATTATGTATCAAGCTTCCTTGCTCGGTGCTTGTTCATAAATTTGCACGATTTTAGGGGCATTGTTAATGTGCCCAGTTCCTTTTTGCTAAACTCTGTTTATTTAACAAAAGAAAAAACCATTTAATTATTTTTAGTAAAGTTCACAATTTTATTTGTTCTTTTTCACATAAAAGGTAAGAACAAAACGATAAAGTAAATAAATAAAATAGTAAAAGTCATCCGTAAAACAAAACGGTCGTTATACGTAGATTTATGGCAAATTGAAACGTAAATAAAAATACAAAATATACATGCTAATATTTTGCACGAGAACCAGACCAAGAGAAAAAGGATGATTGTAGATGACTGATTTAACATTTTACAGAAAAGACAAAACAACTTAACCGTGAGAGCAACATTAAAATGTTAAGTACATAATACAAGTTCACTTGATCCTTTTGCGAACAAAAGCGAGATCAGATTCTACAATTTAACTTCAAAATATTACAACAATTATGCAATGAGAGGATATTGTTTGTGTTGTGCATCATTTCACACAGGCTTCCGTTCTATTTCTGTGATAACTTCAAGAAAAATAAAAAAGTAAATAGCAAGAATATGGAGGGGTTATTTGAGAGGGCACAGAGCAGATTTCAGGTCGCATCGATATCCTTCTTCTGTGCAAGTCATTGTATCTTTTGGCACTGAAACACATTGAAGCATCTAGAGACTTATCTAGATGTTCAGAGGAAGTATGCAAGGGGAGAGAAACTGTTAATGTAAAATATCAATTTAATCTATCTATTTTGAGTATTTCTTTTTAACATGAATGAGTTTCAGGAAAATGAATAGAGAAAAATAGAAGCCTGCATTGAAAAAAAAAAAAAAAAAATTAAAGGAGAACTGGTACAAAAGGAAGTTTCTCCAGACACGAGAGTTAGTTGACAGTATATGAAGGTGTGCGAACAATTGAACATGTTGAAGAAAACAAATAAACAGCCTTGGAAGTTACATGAGTATGAATTGTGCTTAGAGAACATTGATTGATAAAAAATATTTTTTTCTGCAATTCATTCATCAGCTATATGATGGAACCAAGATTTATACAGACAATTTAGGAGGAAGCCATAAGAAGTATTCAATTCACTGAAATTGAAATTGAATTACTCAAATAGAAGTGTGATTCAGAATTTATCACTGACAGAGTATTTGAATTGTGATTTCCCCAATCATATCCTTATATTCGAGTCAAAAGTTTCCCAGGGCCAAGTTGTACCATGATTCGTTTAAGATTCATTTTTAGATGTTGAAATTGTATCCCATTCAAGAAAATCAAAACCTGCAATTTGTTTTAAGTACTCTGATATTTTGGGGTAAGATTTTAATTCAGAAATAGTGGACGTATTTACTCTTCTTGAAAAATTGAGTACAAGTGATGCTAAAGGAGTACATTGGATCTTTCGATAAACTTCACCACCCATACAACTGTCTCTAATAACAGTTAGCGAAAGGGAGTGACAAACATGAGAAGTGGCACGTTTGCCCATCAGCATGGGTGAAATAGTTTCTTAGAGCTAAAGACAATTAAAGCTAAACTGTGCGTAGTAAAGGAGCCTCCATTAAAAACAGTAGAAGTGAATCCAGTTTTGAGAGGTTCTAACAGGAAGAGATAAAATTATCGATGAGGACCACCATTTTCATGCGATCTTGGAAAAAATTATTGCCTGCCACTAGAATATGTCAGCTCCCCATTTAGAAAACCAAAACTGACAAGAAGAGGAGGGGAAATACTAAAAACTTAAAAATTTGTCAACATTTTGGCTCATGATCTAACAATATTCGAGTTTGGAAGATTTAACTCAATTGAGAAGACTGACAAAACAGAATGAGCTAAAGAAACTGCTAATGCAAGACATATCCTTCCAAAACATTGAGTGTTAAAAGCCCTCTTTTGCAAGCTATTTCATCCAAATTCCTCACCTCCTATTAAGAAAGAAATTGATCTCTGGCACTTATGAAATCTTGGTTACTACAGTTCAGGGCTGAGAGAAAGTCATGCATAAAAAGGATCAAGTAAATGAATAAAAGGTTAAAGACCTAACAATTAAGTACAAATGGACCTTGAGCTGTTTCAAAAAAAGTACTATTGCATTGTTCAATGTATTCCCACTGAGAAGAAAAGCTACGGGAATCTTAGATTAAAATTTCAGAGGAAGGTGCTGCAAGTCCAGGTATCCACAATAACCTCATCAATGCCAGAGGTGAATTCCAATGGAGTCCCATAAAAACAAAATATGTTGGTAATTATCTTACAACTTACAGCTGTAGGAGATATTGATGAAACGATTTTAAAAAGTAATGAAAAATTAGTTTTTCCCTTGAAAAGTAAGGAGTTTACTACCTCAGTATAGAAGAGTGTTGCATTATAACTGGAATTAGATCAAAGCTTCAAATCCATAGTCTTTGAATACTTTTGAAATTGCATAAATAAAGGACTTACACCCCTGACAATACATTCAGAAAATTTTGCTCTTAGTTTGGTAAACAAGTTTACGTAATTTTGAGTCCAAAGCCTCAATTGAATTAATGTTACAAAGTGGAAGAAAAGTAAAAATAAAAATAGTACAAATTTAAAACGCAGAAATTACATGCTTAATTAGTTAATTACTATCACATTTTATCTTTTCTGCAAAATGACAATGGTTTCTTTATCTTTTTCATTTGTAACTTTCCTTTTAAAATAACGACCGGTCCATACTATTACAATGAAAAAAAAAGACAGGATAAAGTTATAGATAAATCAGAATGAGTCTCAGTAAAAAAAAAATAAAGAAATGCTTTACTCCTTGTAAAACAAAAGTGTTTTAATAATCTGCTCTTTTTTAGAATTGATAGTCTGATCGTAAATTAATCAAATTTTGTTGGTCAAACCATTTAAAACTGCAGTAGAAATCGACGAGGAAAATGTGGACAGGACATACAATTGTGAACTGAATAGTCGTATTTAAAATTATCATTCGTTCAATACCAATCATAGAAAAGAAAAAAAAATTAAATAAAAAAAAATGTGAGTGACAAAATTTCAGTTAGAGGGGAAGGGAAGAGAACAGAAATAAAGAAAGAAATAAAATAAAAAAAAAAAAAAAAAAAAAAAAAATACCTACTTACGAAAGAACAAAAATCACAACTTAAAATTAATGCTACAATAAATATTACAAAATAACTTACAGTTAAAAAATAAAATAATATCACAAAAATTATTTCATCACTAAATATCGTACATTATGCTACAGAATTACATAACGTTGGGTGGAACAAAATGAAGAGAAAAATAATTCTCATGTAATGTCAAATTCAACACAATCCAATTTCCAGCCAGTTTTTGGTGTGCTTTAAAAAATTGTGCAGCAACTAAAATTCTACAGAACGAAAATTAGAATAAGATAATATTTGACAAGTAAAAACAGCAGCAGAAACCCAAGCAATTGCAAGGGGCTGCTACATATTTAGTGATCAAAATGTGTAGGATCTATGATCCAAGATGTTAAAGAAAATGTTAAAATTCCAAAAAATTGGGACAAAAGGGTGAACAATGTTATAATATTTTGTTGTACGAAATGTATGACCATTCTCGTCCAGCTTATGAGGTCACAGAAAGATTTATAAAAGAAAGTAAGTTGAATATAACAGTGAGTCAATATTAGATGGCGGTTGGATTGTGTGAATTGCAAGAAAAAAAAAAAAAAAAAAAAAAAAAACGTTACGATGTGGAACATCAAATTTCAGTAAATAGGGACAAATTATGAAAAAGAAAGAAATAAGAAACAATTGCAAGAAACAATGAAACAGAAATGAAATGAAAGAGAAGAGAAAGTAACTGAAAGTGAAGGATTTCCAGTCAAAACATGATAAAATGTATTGCTTATGAAACTGATTAACATTCAAAACGATCATAGAGGTCACCAGCATGGTGTTAGCTCCAGATAAAATGTTTTAATGATATTTAATGCACTTTTTGGCTCTTTCAAAAATATATACTTAAAAATGACTAGAAAGTGCCATCCATACATCGGTTCTCTAATGGCTTCACTGCAGGTAACTGCGTTTAAATTCAAGAATCATTGAAGCAATCTCAAAAACAAGCTATAATTTAGCAGATTCCATTCAAATTTTGATAAAGACTCTTGAATCATTGTAGAATGACGATTCAATGAGCTGTTCCCCTACCATAGAATTGTGAATTTTCAGACGTGACTTTGAAATTTACCGTTCCTTAGTTAGTAGCTGAATTAACGGCGATGAGTCTTTCTTGGAGAGTGGCAAGAATCAGCATGATCGATTATCGTGGCTGAATGAATAGAATTGAATTAATGTAAACTAAAGAGTTAAAGTAATAGTTAGGTGGAAAAGATTTCAGCTTCAGAAAATCAAAAAGCAGCTCCAAAAATAAACTCTTATCGAATTATACTCCTGTTTGATTGAACACAGTTTACTTTCATTTTAAATATGTATGTCATTAGTTTTAAGCATTTTTATGATATACTGCATTAGTTGCAACTAGGAGAAACGATAAAAAATAAAGCCTGTTAAATCAAAAGTGAGAGAGTTGTTTCCAATATCACCAGTTCAGGGCTGAAGACTCCCAATGTTTGGTTACCGGGCAAGCTATTTACCCCCCCCCCCCT